GAGAAGGAGAAGGAGAAGGAGAAGGAGAAGGAGAAGGAGAAGGAGAAGGAGAAGGAGAAGGAGAAGGAGAAGGAGAAGGAGAAGGAAGGAATCAGGCGTTCTCATGGGGAGAATTTCAAAGGCATCAGATATATGGTATTCATTTGAACTAATCCCCAAGTCATCTTCAGCATTTTTAGGTAGGCACAAAGCAACTTTATTCTAAGAACAATCTTTTGTCACAAGCACTCTTAAAGTTAAGTGGTCTTTCCCTAAACAGATTTTTTTTATAACATTGCAGAAAGTAACTCTCTAATTCTAGCTACAGTAAAACCAAGAGATCAAGGATGCTACTTTGACTTCCAAAAGTGAAAAGATAAGTTAGAAACTGTGCGTGTATACAGAAGCCATGATTAATTGTTCAACCATGCAATCAAACCTCTGTCCTTTTTAACCTGCATTGTGATGTGCAATACATGTAAAGGGGAGGGGGGATTGATTTGTGTAGTCATGGTCACCATCTTGACTTTTTTTGACTCTCTCCGCAGACATCCCTGTAAGAAGATGCTAAGGAGGTGGCCATGTTATGTCTTGGATCCACCATCTTGGCTTCTGGTTTCAGTGGGAATGAACCTACTGAAGTACAACACAGACAGAAGTATGTTTAGCCTGATCAGCTAAAGACCCAGTAGTTGCATTTGCACAGCATGTGAAGCTTGGTTAGTTTTAATCTTGATCTCTTTTGTTCCTTTCCTTTGTGTGTGTGTGTGTGTGGTTTTGGATGTTGGGTATGCCATGGACTTGGAGTTGACTTGAATTTTTAGGGTGGCAGTGAAGCGGGCAATATCTGCAAGTCCACTGCTGGAATAATTGCTTTTATTAACAAAAGGGATTTTTGTTCATAAATCTGCTTTTGTATAGCAGGAATTATTACTGTATTTATGCAGTGAATTTCTTTTGCAAAAACCCTTTCATTTGCTTAAGTTGCTCTGCTGGTACTTCTTCCCTTAAATATTATTTTTCTCTCCCTTCTCACCTGTAAGTTTTTCCTGCTTCTGTTTTCCCTCTAACAAAGGGCCTGCTTAGTTTCCAGTTATTCCCCCCTTCCTTATGTATAAATGGTCTCAGAACCTTAAATAGTTCAACGGGCTTGGGGACTAGGGAATTCTGGGAGTTGAAGTTCATACATGCTGGCAGGAGAATTCTGGGAGTTGAAGTTCACACATGCTGGCTGGGGAATTCTGGGAGTTGAAGTTCACACATGCTGGCGGGAGAATTCTGGGAGTTGAAGTTCACACATGCTGGCTGGGGAATTCTGGGAGTTGAAGTTCACACATGCTGGCGGGAGAATTCTGGGAGTTGAAGTTCACACATGCTGGCTGGGGAATTCTGGGAGCTGAAGTCCTGAAGACATCTGAAAGTTGCCAACTTTGAAAAACACTGCTTTAAACCTTTGCTATCCAACAGACAGCACAGCGCTTTCTCCTCTGACAAACAGCACTTCCACATTCCCCAATAATCCTCCGCTCTCACCTGCCCTCCAAACAGTAGCCAAAAAACTCTCAGAGAGCCCCCAGTTTCTGTTTCAACCTTCTCAGCTCCACCTCTCACC